CACCGGGCACGTGTGCATGCGTGCCCAAGATCCCGAGAGGAGAATGGAGGAGAAGGGATTGCGGCATGACCATCCCCCCTGGGGGGTGATTTCTTGCTTTCTGTCTCTATGTCTCTCTCTGTCTGTATGGCGAGTGCACGCGCCCTATAGTGAAAACCTCTCTCAAAAAGAAAAGTTTTTGCTATAGGGCACATGTGCTCCCAAAAGACAGAGAGAGACAGAGAAAGTGAGAAGTCATCCCCCAGGGAGGATGGTGATGCCGCAATTCCTTCTCTCCCATTCTCCTCCATTCTCTTGGGATCTTGGGCATGCACACACATGCACCTGCCATGAGTTTAAGCTGCTGGGTCCAGGACTTGAACCATGGTCAACTACATGGTAGTCCAGTGACATAGCCATTAGGCTAACTGCTGGTCCTGCAAATTATTTCTTTTTGTTACTTCTTAAATGATGTTTTTGCTACTTCTTACATAATCTAGAGAAGGAATGTGGATATTCAAAGTGTTACCTAACAGCCAGTGTAATATTTATGCATTTACATTTAAATCCTACCAAGAAGCAATTATTTGTAACAGTGATTTTTCATGGAAAGATACATTTTTTTCATAAACAACCATGTGCTATATTGCATAGTTCCATAGTGCTATATTGCATAATAGAGAATTACAAAGGTATTAATATATGTTAACTGAACTTAATTAGGCTATTACAAAAACAGTCTATTGAGGGATCAGCAGATGGTTTAGTGGTTAAGCCAATGGACACTCCCACATGGCCAACCATAGTTTGAATCCTGAACTTGGTAGCTTCCTTTCTCTCTCTCTCGTCAAATTAAAAAAATGAATAAATCAAAAAATGAAATAATTTTGGGGGGATCAGCAGTTAGTATAATGGCTATGTCGCTGGACTCCCACGTAGTCAACCGCGGTTCGTGTCCCGGACCCGGTGGCTTAAAACTCACACAGGACACATGTGCGTGCGTGCCCAAGATCCCGAAAGGAGAACGGAGGAGAAAGGACTGCAGTGTGACCATCCCCCCTGGGGGGTTATTTCTCGCTTTCTGTCTCTCTGTCTCTGTCTGTCTGGCGAACGCATGTGCCCTATAGCAAAAACCTCTCAAAAAAATTATTTTTAATTAAATAATTCTAAAAAAAAAAAAAAAGTCTATCTTGGGTAGTTTTTTAATACTATTATTTTGCCAGAAGGGTACATGCACTCACTAGAGAGAGATGGGGAAGAGGGGAGAAACACTTGCTGTGGGGAATAGCCTGACTATAATCCCCTTTCCTCCATTTCTCCATCCTGTCAGGATCTGGGGCATGCACACACATGTACCTGGCATGTACCAAGCTACAGGGTCCAAGACTAGAATTACAGGGTTGGCCTTAACCACCAGGTCACAGAGCTAACTGGGGATAAATGTTAATATAAACTTTTTATTGGATTCTTAAAGGTAAGCTAAAAATTTGAAATAGATTCTACTCAAATTCTCTCTACTGTCACCCGCTCATCTTTTGTTGTTATATAGTCACATTCCTCACTTTACTCTTTCTATGTATTAGATATTATTTATGACAATCCCCTTTTGTTCCTATTACCCCTTATATACTTCTATACCTTTTTCAAAATATGCTTGTATTTTTTCTTCTGTTATTGATTTTATTTGGGGGAAAATGGTATTTTTTTTCCTCCTGCTCCCACTATATAATCTACCAGTGGGAAAATGTAATTAGACTTAGTATTTTGCAAGTATTTTTGTGGACCCCTATACACAAGAAGATTTTAGAATTTTTAAACAAATAATGGAGGAAAGTACTCACCCACAGTCCCTTCTGTGCCATCCGTTTCCTTTGGAATATAATGTGTAGAAAGGTCACTCTGAAGGACTTCATCCGATGTGGCTCTGGCTAAAGCAGCAGCCAAAAAGGAAGGGCAATTACTGAAAGAGAAAAATAAAAGTCTACTCTCAGTAAAAATGATGAAAGTAATACATTCAGCATTGTTCATAATTATGTATTATAACATATTGTGTCAAAACAAAATTATACCTATAACAATATTCAACAAGTATTTGAGTGTGACTGTGTGCTGGGCACTACTGGGCACTGAGCATCTATGGTGAATAACACAGATGTAGTCTCTGACAGTGCAGCTCACAATCCAGTTAATGAGACAGATGATAAATAAGTAAACAAATAGGATATAACTTATGTAACTTAAAAGTGGAATACATTTTTGAAAGAAAAACAAAAACAAGGTACAGTAACAGAGAATAATAGAGGAATGCCATTCCTGGATGAAAAAGACTCAATTATGTGGGAGTGTGAAGTCAGGAGCAAACTCCAGGAGGAGGGGATAGCATGTGTACAGACTGATTCTGAGAGCTTGGTATATTTATAGAACTGAAAGAAACCCAGAGGAGATAAGCATAGCGGGTGAGGAGGGAAGTGGCAGGGAACAAGGTCAGAGGAAAAGACCAGTTATAAGGACCCTTTTGACCATAGTACGGAACTAGGATTTTACTCAAAGCCTAATGAGAATTTTTGGACGACTGCGAACGACAAAGTGCCATAGCCATGCATATGAATTAAAATATTACTTGGTTGTGTCAAAGAAAATTAGGAGGGAGTAAGATGAAGGAGGGATGATCAAGAAGGAGATTTGTTATAAACCTATTAAGAGGAAAAAAATAAGTATATTTTGTAGGAAACAAATACAGAACTTGCTGATGACTCGATGTAGAGGTGAGAGAAAAAAATGAATGTGAGTCCTGGTTTTGGTCTGAGCAACTGGATGAATACTAGAATTAATCTGCTATGATAGGGAAACCAGAGAAAGAACAAAGTTGCAAGAAGTGAGTAAAATAGAAAATGAGTTCATTTTAATGTATTAAGTTGGAAATATCTGTGAGATATCCTAATAAAGGTAGTTAATTGGATATTCTGCTATGGTACTCAGAAAAGTTAGAGAATTTGGAAATCATGGATGTACTGATGGTATTTAAAGCTATGTGAATAGGAAAGATCATGTAAGAGAAAAATATAAAAAGAATTGCTTTGAATCAGTGACTTCCATGTCTCCTGGTTTTTCCCTCTTAGAATGGGAAGATGACCCTATGCTTCACTGTTACGTCAGGTAATAGTGAGAACGAGGGTAGAAAACTTGCCCCCTCCCCCCTTATTTTTTGAGAGAGAGAGATTTTTGCTATAGGGAATGTGTGCTCGACAGAGAGGGAGAAAGTGAGAAATCACCCCCCAGGTGCAATCACCCTTTTCCTCCATTCTCCTCTCAGGATCTTGGGCATATACGCACGTGCACCTGTTGTGTTTTAAGCCTCAGGGTCCGGGACTCAAATCGTGGTTGACTATATGGAAGTCCAGCAGTGTAACTATTATGCCATCTGCTGGTCCCAAAAATGTACCTCTTTAGTTCATAGTTTTTCATGTCATGTGGGACTGTAGTCATAAGAGGCATCATCAAGAAATGGTACCCAGGGTCAGCAGGTGGCATTGTGCTTAAGGTACTGGACTCCCACATGACCAGCCTTGGTATAGCCCTGGACCTAGTGGCTTGCTTTCTCACTTTCCCTCTCTCTTCTCTCTCGCTCTCTCTCTGGTGAGTACACATGCCCTATAGCAAATTTAAAAATAACAAAAACTAAATAAATAATTATTTAAAAAGAAAGAAATTATACCCAAGGAATTTAACCTGCACTTCAGCCTGACCTCTATAAGATCTTAAACCTTAAGCCTGAGCCTGATCCCATAATGGGATTAGACTTTGAAAGTCTGTGGGGGAGGGAAGAGTGTGTTTAGTATGTAAAAAATATAAGAATTGTATGGCCAGAAAAGACAGTGACAAATTATCTTTCTATAAAAAGCCCATAGCAATATTTTTGTTCCCACAAGCTATTTTAGGACCTTGCTATTCTCTATAAAGAAGAGAAGTCTATTTGCCTTTCTTTAAACATGGGTGAGGAGACAAGCAGATGGTGTAATGGTTACATCACTGGACTCCCAAGTAGTCGACCATGGTTTGAGTCCCAGACCTGGTGTTTTAAAACTCATAATAGATGTGTGCATGAGCCCAAAATCCCAAGTGGAGAGTAAAGAGAAGCAATTGCAGCACGGCTATCCCCCTGGGAAGTGATTTCTCATTTTTAGTCTCTCTGTCTCTCTCTGTCTCTCTGATGAGGCACGTGCCCTACAGCAAAAATCTCTCTTAAAAAAAACCATGGGTGAGATTCGGTGAGTACCTTGATGAAAAAAAAAATGTAATAAAAGTGATACTGTGTGCCTTCTGAGGGTTTGGTCATAAAAGGTCATATGGTTTCCTCATGGCTTCTTTTCTTCTTCTCTCCCCCTCTGGATGCTTGCTCTTATGACCCACTCACCATGCTATAAGGAAGGCTTAACTAGCCCACATGGAGAAACCACAGGAACAGGCTCATGTGATAGGAACTGAGGCCCACCCAGCCAATAGCAATCATCATCTGCTTGACATGCCAGTCCTCTGCTATCAGTTGATATCAGTCCCAAGCCTAAGTCTTCCAGGTAAGGCCCTAGATCATGGAACAGAGATAAGCTGGCTCTGTTTCTTTCTATCTGAATTCTTAATTGAAAGAATCTTTCTATCTGAATTCTTAATTGAAAGAAACTGTGAGCATAATAAGTGATACTTTATGCTCCTAAGTTTTATGGTACTTTGTGATATAGTCACAGCAAGGGAAAACCTATTTTGGAGCTTCATATAAGGTGAAAAACATATATAAAGACTGAAAAGAGGGCCGGTTCTGTGGCCTGCTGGTTAAGGCAGCTGGATCCCACATGGCTGACTGCATGCGAAAACCTCTCAAAAAAAAAAAAAAATGGTGCTGGGACAATTGGAATCCACATGCAAAAAAGCATTCTGTTGGGCCCCCTTCTCTTTTATTTATTTATTTACTTATTTATTTATTGGAGAAGTTTTTGCTATAGGGCGCATGCACTCACCAGACAGGCAGAGAGAGACAGAGAGACAGAAAGCGAAAAATCCCCCCCCCCCCCGGGAGGATGGTCACGCTGCAATCCCTTCTCCTCCATTCTCCTCTCGGGATCCTGGGCACGCACGCACATGCACCTGGTGTGAATTTTAAGCCACCGGGTCCGGGACATGAACCGCGGTCGACTACATGGGAGTCCAGCGACATAACCATTACGCTAACTGCTGGTCCCATGACCCCCTTCTTGATATCATATACAAAATGCATTAGAGGGGGGCCGCAGGTGGTGTGGTGGTTAAGGTGCTGGACTCCTACATTGCTAACGATGGTTCAAGTCCCAGACCCAGTGGCTTGAAAAATCATGCTAAGCACACGTGCATGTATGCCCAAAATCCCGAAAGGAGAATGAAGAAGGGACTGCAGCATTGCCATCCCCTAGGGAAGTGATTTCTCACTTTCCCTCTAACCAGCTCTATCTTTCTCCAGAGAGCACATATGCCCTATGGCAAAAAACTAAAAAAGAAAACAAAAAAAAAACTAACTAAAATGTATCATAGACCTAAATGTTAGAGCCAAAACTCCTGAAAGAAAACATAAGAGTAAATCCTCATGACCAAAACCACTAGCAAATAATAAGTCACCCTTGGTGGTACAGTGGTGATGCAGCACTCCACAATGCTAGGGCCATATGAGAAGGTGCTCAGTTTGTGTTCTAAGGTCTCCCTGTGCAGATCAGGCATGTGTATTTTCATGGTCCTGATTAGCCGAGGCTGGGAGTGGATTGCAGAGTGAAGACCCTGTTAAGGAGAAATACTCCCCCTGACACACTTTCTCCCTCTCTCATGGAAGAAATTAATAAATAAACTTTAAAAAAGAGAGAGAGACTTAAACTGGACTACCTGAAGGTGGCGTGGTGGTTGGCTAAATGCAGTTCAAGCCCCAGACCTGGCAGCTTATGAGTCATGTTGGGCCCATGTGTGAATGTTCAAAGTCCCAAGAGGAGACTTGAGGAGAAGGGATTGCAGTGCGGCCATTCCCCTAGGGGGTGATTTATCACTTCCCCTTTCTCTGTCTTTCTCTGTCCCTCTCCAGTGAGCACATGTGCCCTTTGGCAAAAACCTAAAAAAAAAAAAAAAAGAAAGAAAGAAAGAAAGAAAGAAAGAAAGAAAGAAAGAAAGAAAAGAAAACTTTTGTGCCACAAATCAAAAAAGTAAAAAGTCAACCCGAAAAATGGTAGAAAACATGTATGATTCTTTTTTTTTTTTTTTTTGGAGGAATTTTCGTCATAGGGTCTTAATTATCTCTGATTTCTTGATTCTTAAATTCTTTTTTTTTTTTTTTTGGAGAAATTTTCGCTATAGGGCGCGTGCGCTTGCCAGACAGACATAGAGATACATTAGAGACAGAAAGCGAGAAATCACCCCCCAGGGGGGATGGTCACACTGCAACACTGCAATCCCCTCTCCTCCATTCTCCTCTCAGGATCCTGGGCACGCACACACACGCGCCTGGCATGAGTTTTAAGCCACCAGGTCCAGGATACGAACCACGGTCAACTACATGGGAGTCCAGCGACATAGCCATTACACTAACTGCTGGTTCCCAAAACATGTATGATTCTTACATCTAATGAGGGACTGATATCCAGAATATGTAAAGAAGAATGCCTATTATATCCTTAGGGTTGTCTTTACTATTTAGATATTTTATAATTCCCTTTAATAAACCAATAAATATAAATAAACATTTCCTTGACCTTTATGAACCATTACAGCAATTATTGAACCTGAGGAGAGGCTTGGAGAACTCCTGATTTATAGCCAATTGATAAGACATTTGAGAGGCTCAGACTTATACAGAGTCTGATTTAACTCCAGCCAGTTAGTGTCAGAACTGAATTAAGTTGTAGGACACACATAGATGATGTCCACAGAAAATTAGAGAGTTAGTTGGTGAGAAAGATCCCCACACATTTGGTGTCTGAAGTATATTCAGAAAAACTTTTTTTTTTCCTTTTAACATCATCAGTCATTAGGGAAATGCTAATCCAAACCACAGAGAGAGGTAGCCTGTGTGGGGCAGTACATAGTGTACTGGACGGCAGTGGTAGGAGCCACACAGCTAGTTAATTGCAAGTTCAGATCCATGCCTGAGAACATGCCAGGTACACATGTGGGCGCCCAAGATTCTGAGAAGCTAGAGAGCTGGGGAAAGGGAATCCAGTGTGACAAGACCCTGACAAGGGCACGTCTTTATCCCTCTTTCCCTCCCTCTCTCACATGTGTGCACATGCATGCTATATCATAAAAATTAAAATAAGAACACATGCCAGGCACACACCCAAGTACCCAAGATCCGGTGGGCTGGTGGACTGAAGGAAGGGGTCACAGTGTGACCAGACCCTATGGAGGGTATTCCTGTCTCTCACTCATATGTATGCACATACACTCTATCATGAATAAAGAAAAAAAGGTTTTATAAAAACCCGCAACAATAAATCATTTCATCCCCACTGAGATAACTACACAGTTGAGCATCCTCAATCCAAAAACCCAAAATCTGACAGGTTCTAAAATCTAAAAATTTGTAAATGCCAACACAATCCCACAAACTGAAAATTCTGTATCTTACTTTATATGGTATGTCACAGTCAAAATTATGCAATATCAAAATACTGTATAAAATTACCTTCAAGCTATATGTATAAGGTATATATGCAACCTAAATGAATTTGGTGTTTAGACTTGGGTCCTGAGATATCTCACCATGTAAATGCAAATACTCCAAAATCTAAAATTATCTGAAATCTGATATACTTCTGATCCCAAGCATTTCGGATAAGGAATATTCAGCCTGTAATATTAATAAAAAAGGCAAGTAAGAACAAGTGTTGGCAACTATGGGGAGAAATTGGAACTCTCATATATTGCAAGCAGGAAGAGAAAAATGGTACAGATGCTTTGGAAGTTTTTTAAAGTTTTAAATATAAACTTAATACATGACCCAGCAATTCCACTCCTAGGCATATATCCAGGAGAAATGAAAATATATATTCACACAAAATCCTGTACAAGAATGTGCATAGCATATTATTCATAATAGCCAGAAAGTAAAACAACTAAGTGTCCATCAACTGATGGTGGCTAAAGAAAATATAATATATTCATGCAAAGGAATAGTATTCAGCCATAACAAGGAATAAAGTACTTATATATGCTATAATGAGAATGAACCTTGAAAACATTTCAGTAAGTAACAAACCAATCTAAGATCATAGGGTTACATTTATATGAAAAGTCCAGAATAAGCAAATCTGTAGAGAGGAGAGTATTTCTACCTTAAGGTCAGGGCAACAGGGGAGTGGGGAGGAGGGTAACCGGTGGCTGCTAATGGGTAGGGACTTTCATTTTAGAGTGATGAAAATTTTCTAAAACTTAGGGAACCAGCAGTTAGCATAATGGCTATGTCGCTGGACTCCCACGTAGTCGACCACAGTTCGCGTCCCGGACCTGGTGGCTTAAAACTCATG